CGCCATTCTGGTAAGTTGGCGGCCGCCTCCGGCTGAAAGCCAAAACGGCGTCCTGGCTGGATACAGTGTCTACTATCGAGCGCTGGACTCTGAGGACACGGAGCTTAAGGAGGTGAATGATATCCCCCCAACCACCAGTCAGATCCTCCTGGAGTCCCTGGAGAAGTGGACGGAGTATCGCATCACCGTCGTGGCTCACACGGAGGTGGGGCCGGGGCCGGAGAGCTCGCCGGTTATCGTCCGCACGGATGAAGATGGTAATTGCGCTTTCTTCTGGTTTTCTCCCCAGTCCCCCCTCCGGGGAATCCGCGTCGGTGGAGCGGGCTTTTTCCTGCGCCGAGTCGCTTCTCGTGCGGCACGAGAGCAAAAACCGGAGCGGCGCCGCGAGGGAGCGTCCGGTTCGCAGCTTCGCTGCCGTCGCCCCGAGCCCCTCCGTTTGTAGGGTCATCCTTCCCTGCTTTAGGGGTTTTTTTCTCCTTGAATTTCTATTTTGTGGGGGTTTTTTTTAATATGAAGCCTCTGAGCTCTGGCTGCATCCTGACAAGGTGCTCGCGCTGAGCGAAGGAGCGGCCGAGGCAGCAAGGAAATGAAATCAGAGGAGACGATTGCTGCCAGAACTGTTTGAAAATATTAAGAGTTCTTCCCACACATTCCTTGTTAGGAGCTCCTCTTTAAGTCAAAGTTTTGGTTGGTGGTAGAAAGGAGGAATCTCTGGTAAGGTTTAAAAAAAATAACCCTCATTTACAAGCAGTTTAGACTCCAGTTTTAGCACAAACAGGAACAGTGAGGCTTGAATTTCCCTGTTACTTCCACAGGATAAAACCTGGGAAAAACATGAATGTGTGCATGAAAGGAGAGCACCCTCACTGTGAGGGTGTCTCCTCAAATAATAGAGTAAATTCCAAACTTCTAAGGCTTTCTTCCTCCATCCCAAATAAAAAGAATTGGAAAAAAAGAAGCAGGTTTGTCCCGGGTGTGGGTCCTGTTTCCCTGAGCTCTGCCCACATCCAAATGGATAGAACAGGTTACTCAGAGAAGTATGGGTTTCTTGCAGATTAAGCTCTCGTGCCATATATTTATTAATCTTTTTTCCCCAAAAAAATTTGGCCTCAATTCCATCCAAGACATCTCTTGGTTCCTGTCCTGAGATTATGCGGGGGCTGTAACCACCAGCCCACCTGCCCTGCCTGAGAGACAAGGGAGCTCCAAGGGCAAGTCCCCCTCCTCCCCATCTCCACCCTGACGTCCCCCAGGCAGGACCAGAGCTTTTCTGGCTCCTTAGGAATTGGCGTTGCCCTCCGACTGTGATCTGGAACTGTAGATTTTCTTCCATCTGAGCAATCCAGTGGCAGAGGAGCCTGTGGAAGAACAGCTTTCCCATGAGATGGACCTGTTGCCATGCTCATCTCCGAGCCACACGGATTAGATCCCCCAGAACTGAATAAAAGCCGTGGCAGATGATGGAGGACCTAGTTTGACCGTTAAGCGTCCCCCACCTTTCCGGGCTGTCGGTTCGGTGTGTGCCCGTCCCGTAGGTGAAGCGAACGGCTCCGCGTGGAAATCCCCAAGTGACTCTTCCCCTTCCTTCCCTTCCTCGCAGTGCCCAGCGCGCCGCCTCGCAAAGTGGAGGTGGAGGTCCTGAACTCGACTGCAATCCAAGTGTTCTGGCGCTCGCCAGTCCAGAACCGCCAGCACGGCCAGATCCGCGGCTACCAGGTGCACTATGTCCGCATGGAGAATGGCGAGGCCAGGGGGCTGCCCCAGATCAAGGACATCATGCTGGCTGACGCCCAGGTGAGGACTCGCCTCCTGCTCCAACCTCCTCTGGTGGAAGGTTTGAGGGGGTGGGTGCTGCGGCCGCCTTGTCTCGTGCCGAGTGACATCGTGGTGGAGACAGTAGGTCGACGTCTCGACGCCAAGGTGTTACGTTGTCCTCCTGTAGTTCGTTTGCACTCCCACATGGTAACTATTGTGGAAGAGTGTGAACTGCTGTCCCAGCACTGACCTAAATGCCATCCATCCTCCCTGTGTCTGGGAAGTCTTTTAAGGCAGGCAGAGGCCACGGTGGAATCTACTAATTTCTCCCACTCTACTTCTTCCTTCATGCTGGCCTGGTAACTTCTGACCTTGTGTGGCTGCTTGCTCAGGGACTCCTTCCTCATGCTATGTCTCTGTCTTTCCCTTCTTTCCCCTCTTGTATTCTCACGTGCAAAACCTCTCTTGTTCTCTGCCCAGTGGGAAACAGATGACACTGCTGAATACGTAAGTAAAAAAACAAAAGTCCTCCCATCCTGGTTCTGGCCCTTCCCTTCTCCCACTTCCTGTTGTGCTGTGATATTTTCCTTTTCCTTTATTTTTTTGCAGTGCCAGTGTGCCTGTCCCAAAGCCTGCTCTTGGTGTTCCCGTGCATTGTCCCCACCCTGTTCACTTTGCGACCCCGTGTGACCGTGTAGTTTGTCGGCACGCAGCGATACCGCAGGGTTTTCCCCTCGCCTCTGAAGGGAGGATGAGTCTGCTGCTCCAGATGGGACCCTGAGTTTGGGACTGCCTTGAACACAGCCTTAAAGATGGGCTGGTCTGCAAGCACCTCTGGCTTGTGGCTGTAAAAAAGTCAGGCTGCAAAGTGTTGGGTAATTGCTGTTGGCGCTTTTACCTTCTAAGCAGACCTTAAAACCAGCTTGGCTCTTTGGTCTTTGCTACTTCTGCTGAAATGGGAAAGGTTTTCTGTGATCTTAGAGCTACAAAGCAGTGGGAGAAAGCATTTCCTTCATGGAATGGCAGGGTCCCAAGGTAATACACTGCTAAATTCAGTGTATTCATGTCTCCTGCACATTGCCAAGTGCCCCGCAAAAGCGAGGGGCCTCTCTTTTACAGAGGGAGAAGCTCAGTCACGCAAAAGACAGTCTCGTGCCTAAAATTCAGTGAAACTTGATGGCAAGTGTGAAAGCAGAACAGGTTTCTTGGCTTTTGGCACATCTGTCTCTGTAGCTAATGGCATCCAAACTGGTTGACCAAAATCCCGCTGGTTTGAAGTTCTGCTCTTCCCCTCCCTGCTCAGCTTTTAGGGCAATACAGCTATTTTCAGGACCAGCAAATTCTTCCCAAGTGCTGCCCTGAGATTTAATATCAAAAGCACAAAGGGGCAGCGGGGGGCGAGGGGAGAGGAACGCTGTAAAACACGCACAGCATTGACGTCTCCTTTTCAGAGCCTTGGAGAAAACCCTGCTGCCTATGCTCTCATCCTGTTTGATTTAGCGCGGGCGTTCCTTCTAGAACGCAGCCCTGGGAAGGGCTGAATACTTCCTGGGGAAGGGCTGTTCTTGAGGCCAGTCTTGTGAGAAAAGCTCTTGGGAGCCGGCTGTGGGGAGGCTGATAGAGGACGGGGGAAGGAGGGTGTTGGGGATTTAGCAGAGAGCGTGCGAGCGGAAAACGTCGTCTTGCACTTTGCGTTAAAGCAATCCCTTTAATATTGTGAAGGCATTAAAAAAATATCTCTGAGGAGAAAAGGGGAGGGAGGGTAGCGGCAAAAAAAACTGTAATCTCCCTGAAAGCGCCGAGACCTCCTCTGAGGCTGCGTAGTGAAGAGGAACACTTTGAAAAGCACAACAGTGTTTTGATGGCTGAAGCAGTTTGTGCTGAGATAGGGAACGTGCCAGAGAGAGATCTGGAAGAGGAGGCGTTGAACCGGGGCCCCGCAGGGACACGCTGTGTTTACAGAGGGGCTGTCTGCAGCCCAAGCGTGCGAGGCTCTGTCGTCCTCCTGCCAGTTGCCGCGTCTGCCCAGTTGCCCCAGAGTGTCTCGTGGCTTCAAATTCAGAGAATGCTCCTGCATGCTAGAGAAGGGCTGAGACTCCTGCAAGGAGAGACCCGTGCATATGTGCCTGAATATTTACATGATTTCCCTTTGGAATCTCGCAAACAGGAGATGGTCATTGCTGGGCTCCAGCCTGAGACTGCCTATTCCATTACTGTAGCCGCCTACACCATGAAGGGAGATGGTGCTCGCAGCAAACCGAAGGTGGTCACCACGAAGGGTGCAGGTAAGAGTCTTTTCTGAGCCATTGGGATGAATTGGTTGCTTGTAGTTTCTTGTGCCGTAAATTCCAGTGCACCAGAAGTAAAGAGAATCTCGGCCTGGTCTGATGCTGCAAACAGAGCGTAGCTTCGATGGTTGGAGCATACGGGTACCCTGGGAGCAGGAGACCAGAGCTCTGCTGACACAGTGTTGACTTGCAAAGATCTGAAAAGCAGCAGCCAGGCGGTGGTGGCTTATACCACCCGCTCGGCTCTTCTGGTATCGTGCCTGAATATATGTCCCCTCTTTGCTCGGGACCAGTGGAGGGAAAAGCGCTGACAATATTGACCTTTCCTGGCTAGCTTTGCTGGGACCTGGGCTCTGTCTGCACGTTCCACCCAGATTGATTCCTCCCTTTGACCTATTCTTCGTGGCAAGGCATCTGTCGGCCGCAGTGCAGGGGATGCGGTGCCGGGCTGGGATGGCAGGGCCTAAACAGAGGAATGACAAAGGGCAGGAGAGCTTCCCTTGCTCCTGTGCTGCAGGCAGGAGAGGTGCACGCTCCACCTGTCCTCTCAGCATCTGCGTTCCTGTAGCTTCTGCTCTCGCAGCTAAACCACTGCTCTGCAGTGTGGGAAGGGGTTTGTGCGGTGGAGGGAGACTACTGTGCCTAGACCCAGAGGTTTGCCTCGTCCAACCCATCTCTTGTTGGACTGTGGTTCCCTTCTCTCACGCTATTTGGTTCATGCTCTTTCTTGTGTTTGTGCCGTCAGATGAAGGCTTTCTCCCCTTTTCATTTCTTTTCTTTGCCTACTGACTTCCCAACCCTGGCTGTCTGTTTGTTTTCTTCTTAGTTTTGGGGCAATCGTCTTCACCCTGCCTGTAGCAGCTGTATAAACTGACATCATCCCTTGTTTTGGGAAGAACATTGCTCTCTGCCTCTGTAGGGATCAAAGGTCTTCGGTCAGAGCTGTATAATTAACCTGGAAACCTCTGCTCGGGCTCTGGAGGCAGCACAGACACTCGGCCGAGCGCACAGGACAGAGAGGGCTCAGGAGCTCTGGCGTGGAACGTGCAGGGCTGGAGCTGCAGCTGCCCTCCGTGCCCTTGCCTTTTCCCTGTCCTGACTCGCATCTTCAGCTCATTTTATGTTCTTGTGTTCAGACAAGGGAACTGGATTTCAGCCTGTCGCTCCCCTCTTGCCTCTCCCGCTGGTTAAGAGAGCGGTCCACAAGAGAACGAGGTTGCTTTTCGGGACACCAGCTCTTGCAGGTGTTACAGCGGGGTACGTCTGGATGTCAGCATCCAGGCTCCTGTCCTCCTGCCCCGTCGTGCCAGTGCCCTTTTCCTTCCCCTTCCAGCTCTGCCCGTGTTTCTCCTGACTAGCTCCCTGGTTCTCTCGTCTTGTTTCCTTCCTCCTGAGGCTCTCTACCCTTCATTTTTCTCTCCTGGAGCCTTTCTCTCTGCCTCCCTCCCTTCTCACTCTCACTTGTCACCCTCCCTCATCTCTCCCCATTAGGATTTGCAGTGCAGGTGATCAGTCACAGAGGGATGTTTTCTCCAGCACAGCAGCTATTACCCAAAACTCAATTTCCCCCAACTTGAAATAGCTATTTTGAAAAAAATCTTTCAAATGGCTCTGTAACATTCTTATCGTCTTTGCAGCGTTGAGTCAACATACCTTCTGAGAGGAGAGATTTCTTTCTTTATCATTCAGGGCTAGGGGCTGAATTTAAATACAGTAATACATCCAATTTTCTCCTTTACTGTCCAAACCAATTGCAAAATAAAACACTTCCCCGCCTCTCGCGCTTTCTTCTCACCTTTCTTCCAAACAATATTTGTTGTGCAAATGTAATATTTTCAAGCTCAGCTGATTATAGCAGCGTTTGTGATAAAATCTGAAACATAAAGGTAATGGCATTGTTTTTCTCTTTAATGTGTGTCTTAGGCATTTCCAAGGGAGGCTGTCCCAGCACTGCTTCTTGGCCGTTCTTTGGCAGTTTGAAATGAATAAAGCGTTTGTTTCAGAGCCAGCCCCTCAGCCCCGTGTTCCGATGTCAGGCGAGGCAGCAGGTTGGACTCTGCCAGGATCCCTGACACGGGCAGCATCCTTCTCCCTCCCGCCGCTTCGTTAGCCCCGCTCCCGCTGCCGGGATCGCTCCTGACTCCATTCTCTCTCTTCCCGGTCGACCAGAAGAAATACCGAGGCGGAGAGAAGAAAATTAGGTTTCTAATAGCAGAGTTGAGTGTAAATGACGCGTGAGCTGCTGGAATTAATGCTCTGGTTTCTCCAGCTTCAGGAACCTCTGGGCCTACACATGTCATTTAACGGTGGCTCTGTGCTCGCTTGGCAGTCGGGCAGTGCCAGGGCTCATTAGACAGAGGCACTGAGCTCCTGCAATACCCCCCTGAATGTGGAGGAACTAACTGACAGGTTAAGGAGGGAGCTAACTGAAAGCTCACCAGCGCTCAGCTGCCTTCCCCCTTCCTCTGGAGGAGGGGAACTGCACAGAGCAAGCAGCAACTCTCCCTGCCCTCTGCCTCGCACAGATTTTGGGCTCTGTTTCCACTCTCGGTGCGCTTTCTTCTCTTTGTACCCAACTGGGTGATCAGATGCCTGCCAGACTCACTTAGCTGGCCTCGTGCCCACTGCTCAGGACCTGGGGCTGCCCAGACTTCCTTTCCCATCCTTCATTACTTCACCCTCAGCTGCTCTGGACTTCCCAGCCTGAGCCAATCTGTTCCAGTCTCTTTCTGCATGAGTTGTGCTGTGCAACGGGGAGAGAGGATGGGAGTTTGGAGGACTCATTCTTCCCTGCCCTGGGAAGCAGTCTGCTCGGGTTTTAGGACAGGAGGCTGGGGGTTAGGATCTCCAAGTTTGCTCTTCCCAGCTGTGGGAGACTGCGTGGTCCGGTGATAAGGGAGGAGCTGTGCACACCCTCCCGTCCTGAGGAAAGGGAAGAAAATAAATCCAGAAATGCGTCGGCACCTCACAGCTGGCGCGTTGGCAGTGCTCATTTCCTAAACTTGATAGGCACCGTCCAGCTGTAGAGCAGCTCGGTGTGCGGGGGGGATACGCTGAAGTACACCGAGCTGCAACCTTGCCACGGGCTTGAGGAACCTGTTGCTGCAGCGTAGGGCTCTCTGCATCTCCTCCCCAGCCGCCCCGTCCCACGTTTGACTGAAGGCGTCTGTCTCTGCTCTCTCCCAGTCCCAGGGAAGCCCATCCTGTCCGTGCACCAGACAGAGGAGAACACTCTTCTGGTGAAGTGGGAGCCTCCGCTGGATGCGGAAGGCCAGGTGATGGGCTACCGGCTCCAGTTTGGCCGCAAGGACGTCGACCCCCTGGCTACCTTGGAGTTCTCGGCGCTGGAGGATAAGTACACCGCTCCCAGCATTCACAAGGGCGCCACGTATGTTTTCAAGCTGGCCGTGAAAAGCCGGGCTGGCTTTGGGGAGGAAGCTGTGCAGGAACTCACCACCCCTGAAGACATCCCCAAGGGTTACCCCCAAATCCTCGAGGCGAGCAACATCACTTCCATGTCGGTCCAGTTTGGCTGGCTCCCCCCCGTGCTGGCCGAGAGGAACGGAGCCATCGTCAAATACACCGTGGCTTACCGGGAAGCC